TTATTTTTAACTGGGAATTGGACTCATGACTTCACACTTGCCATGCAGGCACTGTGCCACTGAGCTATATCCGCAGCCCTGTCTCTTGCCCTCTCTCTTGCCCTTTGGATGACAACCTGCTGGTCCCTTGAGAATGACATGAGTCCCTCTGAGAGCAGTACGTACTATAACCTATCTCTTAAAGGTTCTGTTGCCACAAAGGGACCAGGCTTCCAGCACATGAGCCCAGGGGTTCACGCGAACATGTCCAAACCCTGGGAAATGGCCAACAGCAGATGATGAGCACAGGTTTTAGGGCCAGACAGGAATGGAGTTCAGTTCTGCCCCCAAGCCCTCGGAGTCCATGGTCTCTCCTGTGCACCCCCAACCCTCCTGATTGTGCAGACAGGACATTCCCTGTGTTGTCTGCCACTGGTGCTGGCAGGGACTCTGGCCCAGGTGGGAGGGCAGAAAGGGAGAAACATAGCCAAGAGAGTGGGAAGAGCCTTCCCTCGCAGCATCCTGGAGGGGCAGAGGAAAGCCGTGCTGCCTCATCCTGCGGCTCACATCCTGCCTCTGTGTTCCAGTCTGAGGTGCCTCTGCCCAGCCTGTGTCACAGAGGGGCATGGGGAAGCTGTGTCCAGATGTGACAGCTGGGCTGAATTCCACATTTGCCAGGCACTTGCCATGGCCTTTGCTAAGTCACTCGCCCTCCTGAGCTCAAGGTTGCTGTCTGTTGAGTGGGCCTGATTGTAGCAGCACTGGTCCCTGTAAAGGCACTGGGGATAGTAGGGGGAAAGATGCTAGTTACTTTGCATAGTGATGCTGTCTGTTTTGTGTAAAGTGAGCCTGCCAAGGTGATAGTGTACTTATTATTATTTGTAAAAGGAGAAAAATGACAGGAGAAAAGAAAGGTGTTGACCCACTTGCCTGCTCTACCCAAATACCATACATGGAGTGGTTTATAAAAATAGATGTAAAAATATTTCTCCAGCCCAAGGTCAAGGTGTTGGCTGATTCTCTGTCTGGTGAGGCTGGGACAGACCACTTCCAGTGTCTGTTGGCAATGCCATGTGGGATGCACATTTTCCTCTTCCAAGTAGGAGCAAACATGAAAGAGAAGTCCCTTGGAAGGATTCCGCAGCTCAAGGAAAACAACATGTAATCTACAGGACATGGAGAAAGAACAGATCTTCTCTACAGGAAGAAGAAGGATGTTTTAGAAAACATCTGGTTGGTGTCCTCAAGACAGAGGCAAGAGAACAAGAATTCTATGAAATATGCAAGGGAACACTTGGGCTGTGGTGAGGGTGGAGTCACACTAGTGACAGCAGTGGAGTTGTGGGTCTCTTCCCAGGGGCACCTATGCCAGGCACGGTGGAGTCTGGGAGCCTCACGCAGGGCAGCCTGGGTGGAGAGCCATGGAACAAGGAGATGAGTGGTGTGATTGAAATGTATGGTGCATGTTTAAATAAAACAACTCATTACAGTAAAAGACACACTGCCATGAATTCTCTTCAAAATACCCGCCTCACTTCAAAAACACTTATCCCATGTTCTTGCCACTTTCTGAAGCAGCTCTGGAAGTCCTCTTTCCTGAGTGTCTTTAAGAGGTGTGACAAAAAATATGGTGACTGCTGCTGCCCAATGCCATCCAATGGAAAGGCAGGTTGTAGTTACCACAATAGAAAGACACAGAACCAGCAATGTGCAGATGGGGTCTCATGGAGATGCCTGTGAGTGAGCACTGGCTGGGACTGCCAGGTGCTGACACAGCACAACAGGAGCCCTTTACAGAGAGGGGAATGGAGGGTGATGTCGGCGTGCAACTCCGAGGTGGGATCCTGGAAGGGTAGGAACACAAACGAGATAACAGGAGCATAGGGTGGGTGGGACATGCAGAGCAATAGGCTGTGGGAGGTTGCGGGTTCTCTCAGAAGAGAATCAATACAAACAGCAAGGGTTAAGCGGGCGCACCTTGGAAAGTCAAGAAGGCTTTTACAAATGGCTTCTGTCACAGAGAATCAGCACTCCCATTGCACACTATTTAGAGCCTAATTACAATAACGTAGGGCATGCAGCCGAAACTTAGGGAACAGATTGTTATTTTACTGAAACTGTTCCAGAAACTGTTGCAGAAAGGAATAAAACTTCAAAATTCTTCTGGCAGAGATGGAAAGAACCTGATAAGAACTTAATAAAAATAGTGTTTAAAACATAAAACTCTAGCACACTCCCCAGGACGAATATGTTCAGTGCTGTGTGGACGTCAGTATAACTTAAACAAAAGATTGGGAGTCGTATCTGGAATTGGGGTGTGCAAGGAAAGCCAAGGAAGTTCTGGAAAGAAGAGGACAGTGGTGTGGTAATTGTTGTGCCTATTGCAGCGCAGGGCACTGTTTGAGTGATCAGAGTGGCCTTGACTTCTCCTTGGGGGGTCACCTTGCCCTGGGACTGCTGAGCAGGAGCACACGGCGAGAACCAGACGCACATGTGGAGGTTTGTAGAGGACAGCATGGGAGCACAACTCAGTTTGCATTTGGCAAAACACTAACCACAAAAATTACCATGGTAATAAATTGAGATCTTTATCAAGTTAATTAAACCCAAGATAATAAAGCCATAAAAACACTGGAAGGAAATGTCAGACAGCAATTATGTAATCTTGTCATAGGGCAGGTTTCTCAAACTGGGATCTTAAAGTCAGAAACTTTAAAGGACAATCTGATAGAATTTACTATCTTACAAAAAGAAATCCCTCTTCAGAATGGACAATGTCATAATAAAAAATTAAAATAAAGCTGAGCTTAGAACTTTTTTTTTGTACAGTGTTGGGGATTGAACTCAGGGCCTTGCTCACGCTAGGCAAGTGCTCAAGCAACCAGATATACCCGGGCCCCCTAAGCTGACTTGGGAACATGTGACAGGGATCAGCATCATGAACATGTAAATAGTTCTTCCAAACCAATATGCAAGATGCTGACTCCCCAGTGGTGATTGCCAAGGTCCCAACAGGGCCAACGGCCCTCAGATCCCAGCCTCCCACCCCAGGTATCCTGCAGCCTGCCTTACACAGGGGCAGCGTTCCCATCCCAGGGCAGTGTTGAGTGTAACCTGTCCTGGGCTGGAGGGAGGGGGAGGTGGAGAGGGAGGGGAATTGAAAAGAATTAAGGTGTGTTATGATTAAGGGCATACACCAACTTCCCATGAAGGATGTAATCATTATGTGGTACAAATATATACTAAGAAAAATTTAAAAGAGCACCCCCCCCGCAAGAAAAAGGCAACCACAAAACCAAGCTATTACAAGTCCTTGGCTTCTTTCTTATTTTGAGCCTGCCACTTTCACATTTCCTTCAGGTTCCCAATCCTCCATTGCACTGCAGTTTTCTATGCACATTTCCACCAGTGGGCCAGTTAGATGCACCTCCAGATTCACTTTGGGGGCTTCCTGAATCTGGATTTCTAACCTGTATCACTAAGCTGGTTTACACTGACCTGTAACACTTTCTGTGTCCTTTGTGGAAATCTTCCCCCAAACCGAATCACAGGACCCCACTTGACTGCAGGAAGGAGTTGTTGGGTAAGAGGGCAGGGACCCGGCCTGCTGTGGAGTGTCAGGGGGCTGTGTCCAGGGATGTGAGCCCTTTGTGAGCTTAACCTTGAGATGACCATAGGAAGTGGTTCTGCTGTGTGTCATCCAGAGTGCGTAGGGCCTGTGACAGCCAGCGGATCCCAGCAGCAGACAGTGAGGCTG